AATATATTAAAACTAATAAATTAAGTATAATATGTTAAAAGTTAAAAAACATAATTTTATAAGTAGAATTAAAGATATTATTTTAATATTGAAATTTAGTTTATATATGAATACACTTTAGATTTGATATTTATTTAACCTAATTACCAAATTATAATTATTATTATAAAAAAATTGAAAAGTCATGTGAGTTTCAAATAAATATGGTGAAAGAAAAAAAAGAATGGGGGTTTCAAATGTATAAGATTAAAGAAAAAATGCTAGCTTTATAAGTATGTATGATTATATTATAGAGGTTTTTAATTCTTTCTTTTTCCTTCTCGAAAATCAAAAGCAACAATCTTACAACCTTTTCGAAAAAATAGCTTTGAGTTCTTACAATCCTACTATTAATCCTACTATCGTTCGTTTAATTTCTTGAAATCAGATTTTAGAAGCTCCAAGTTGCAATAGATTGTTTGACCATTCATACAATTGGTTTGTAAATAGGAATATGAGTTAAGTCTTAGTAGACGGTCATAATTATTTTTTTAACTTTTTGTAAATTCAACGCGCTTAAACAAAAAGTTCCAAGCTTCGAAATCATAACGAAAAAGATCTGATTTTTTTTCGGTTCGTTTTTTATTTTTAGTTTCTGATTTGTTTAACTTTTTCAAGGGACACATAAATCAAATTCAAAAATCAAAAGGAACAAAGTTACATGGAAATCAAATTTTGATTTTTAAAGGTACAAACAAATCATTTTGGTTTTTCCTTTCTTGCTTGTTTATGATTTGTATTTTTGATAATTTCTTATACGTATTTATGATAAGCTACTCAAAAATCCGAGTTTAGAAGCTCCAAGTTCAATTTATTGTCAGGTTTCAAAAAAGAAGGTATAAGGATTCTCTGATTTTTTATTTTTTGAATTTTCTTTTCTTTTCCTTTCTAGGTGCTTCTAATTTGTATTTCTAACAATGTAATATAATTTGTTAATTTTGTTTATGTTTTTTTTTTTTGCAGTTTTGTTATACTTTATAATTTGAGTTTTAGAATTGAGAACCAAGAAAAAATCTTCAAATCACAAATAATGTTGTTTCTTTATTTTCACTAATTTAGGATTCTGGGTTAAAAAATATATGAATTTGGATACGAAAAACATAAAAGAAACAATAAACAAAAAATAAAGAATCCAATACAAAAATTAAAATGATCTATAGATAAGTTTATGACAAAATAAAACAAAATTTTCAGGAAAATAAAAAGCAAACGGATAATGATGCTAATGTTGATGTTGATGATATTAATCTTAATAATGTTGATTTTTTTTTGAAAGAGTGATAATGTTGATGTTAACATAGATGGTTATCATATTCTTGATGTTAATAATAATGTGATGACTTTCACACATTTGATATATAAATTGGGATGGGCTTGACTCTAACTTGGTAAATATTTTCACATTGGTCCTAAAAGAAATTTATCTATTAAAAGGTCCTAAAGATAATATTTAAGGAGGTTTTCAACAATATATTATGTTAAAACTTTACCAAATAGAGAAAATGTGACTGGGATTGGATTGTTTATTCTAAAGAAATTGACTAAAATTTGTTTTTTGTTGTAAAATATTTCAAAAAGAGGGTGTAGACATAGGGTTTTGGAGATTAGTACATCTTAATACTATAATTAAAGAGCATGAAACTAGTATGAAACATGTTAAAAGTATAAATACTTAGTACGATTTGCATCTAAGATTACAATTAAAAAAAACTATTGATAATACGACTCAAAAACAATTAAAAAAAAGTTCATTGTAGAAAAGTTTAGTTGAGAAATATCTTTATTGTGAAATTTCTTGATAAATCAATCTAGCATTTCATGATACTATTGAGAAATTGTATGAAAATAACAATGAATTTTTTTTTGTTTAATTGAAACGTTGGTTGAGTTTGACATGGTTTTTTATGAACGTATCACAAATGAAATTGGTATCTATAAACATAATTGCTTAATACTTTTACTTTCTTCGGAAATAAAGTCTAATTATTCATAAAAAAAAAGCAAAATATTGTTTTCCTATTACCTCTATTGCATATAAAATTATGTTGACTATTCATGTTATTATCGCATATGTAGAAAAGAGTTTTACAAATTGAAGATACTAAAGTCTTACTTGCAATCTACAATTACTCAAAAAAGAAATAATGGATGATCATTGATGACGATTGAGAGAAACCTTTTGGATAAAATTTTTTATGAAGTTGTTATATATATATATACTAATAAAATTAATATATATATATATATAATATATATATATTATATATATATATAATATATATCAAAAAATATTAGAAAGATGACTAATTTCAAGTAAAAACAACTTTTTTGTATTATTTAGAATGAAATTGTAAATTATGTATTTTTCAATTAAAAACCGATAAATTAAACTATTCTGAACTTTTGATTAGATTTTTTAATGTTTGGGTCTTTTTTTGTTAAATTACACAAGACCTTCAAAATCTCACGGCCGACCTGGTGTGTATATATAATTTTATATATTAATAACGAGTGTATTATATATTTATAACATTATATATTAAACTAAGAAGAATTATGGTTTTACCCATATAAAATCATCAATCTGAATGTCTTCTAAATGTTCGTTGAGTTCAAGAGAGATCATGACATGATAACCTCGTTCAAGTTCCTTATGATGTATTCACTCCAGATGAAGATGAACCAAGTTCTCAGTAGGAGCAGCAGAAAGATCATCAGTGCATTGAAAGCACATGTGATTTTGTGTAACATCTCAAAAATATAGTCCAAAAATTTCGTTTTAAATCATTAAAGAAAAACCCATAACTCATAAAACAACATAATAAAATCACATGTCGTGTATCTCAAAAATCATATCAAAATATTGTATCAAAATCATGTATCAAAATATCAGAGTCTAAAATATCCCAGGCTGAAATCTGTGGAGTGTGCCATGCAGTCATCCTGAGCTCTTCCCCTTGCTACCGGAAGTACCTGAAACCAAAACTTAAAACTGTAAGCACGAAGCTTAGTGATTCCCCCCAAAATACCACATACCATACACATAAGAGCATATACTGGGCCTTACCCACTGCATCTGGCCTCGTCCAGCATCGGGTCGACGCCTGGCATTGGGCTCCGCCCGGCATCAGACCGAAGTTCGGTATACATATAACATAGAAACAAGTATATAGCACATAAACATATAAAGCTTCCTCGAGATTTCCTGGCATCGGACCGAAGTCCTAAACACATAACACAAAACATATAAGCTAAACCTTCCTCGAGCTTGCCCCAACATCGGACCTAAATCTGGAACACATAAACAAGTACATGCAAGAATCACGAAGACATCAAGCATACAAACATTCCACGGGCTTTACCCGACATCGGACCGAACTCCATAACATATAAGCTACATTGGGTTAACCCCGACATCAGACCTAATTCTGGCATATACTAACATACATAAACGGGTCGGCATTGGTGCCTGCGACCGGTTCCTACTAGAGGAAAACTCACCTCTCAAACTGGTTGCTGATATCTCAAATGAGGAATCTCCAATGGCTGCTCCAACGACTCCCTGGCTATAAATCACAAGGAACACTTAGTCAAATCTAAAAATCCTTCTGAGGGTAAAATAACCATTTTACTCTTGGTCAAAGTCAACGCTCTGGTTAAACTCAAAGTCAAGGTCAACTTCATTGAGTTCCTAAGCTATTCAGTCACGTGATAAACCGAGTCAACTCGTTGAGTCTCTTCACAGACTCATCGAGTTCCACCTGGTAAGGAATTGTGACAAATCGACTCGACTCGTCGAGTCCATTTCTGGACTCGCCGAGACCCTTGTCTATTTGGCTATCTTGATAGATGCAGCCCCTTCAGATCTAGGTTTCATTTTTCACATAAGCCCCATAATTTTCCTTTTGAGGGTAAAGTTTCCAACTCTACCCGTTAATCCCCCTTCTTAATGGGTTTAGCTCAAACCCTAACTCCTTGGGACATAAAACTTGGTCCTTAAGCCATTCATGCACCAAACTAACATTGAAAATCATAGACCTAACCTTTCTCATTACTTGGACACGTAAGTTCCCATCTTTATCTTAATGCATTGCCTTTTTGGGCTATAAAGGCCATAATAACGTTTTAAGCTTGCATGGGGCTTCCATGGTCATAAAGTTTGCACCTTTATGCCATGGAACCCCTTCTAGATCCTAGATCTGAAATGTAGACCATTTGGGATGTCCAAATCCCAATGGCCCAGGTTATTTAATCAAAACCCTCATAAAATGAAAGAGAATAGATCTACAGAATGAATTATGAAGTTGGAGACTTGATTACCGAAAAGTGATGAGGATGGAAGGAAATCCCTGGATCTACAACCTTCTCCTTGAACCTTTTAGTTCCTTCTTCTTCTTCTAGCTTCAAGAACACACAAAATCACTCAAAAATGGCTCACACACTCACAAAATGCTCTAGGATTTCGTGGATTAGGGTTTAGGACTTGGAGGCTAGAAATGAGGTCAAAATATGAGGATTATGATGCTTAAATAGGGTGCATCCCAACTCGTCGAGTTGCCTTGTGAAAATGAATAAATAAATATTTAGATACATACCAGGGATCTAGGCGTTACATTTTGACTATCAAGGTAGAAGATACCATGTTTAGGATCCCAAATGAACATGTTGAATTTGCTCAACACCCATTGGTAATTTAGTGTTGATGTAGACAGTTCCATCATGAAGAAGGAACTTTATAAATATAGACATTTTGGGCTTACGGGCTTTATCAGAAGTCAAAGGCTAAGATGAACCAACTGAAGGCACTAAATTTAGCTTCTTGACTTTGTTGATTAGCTGTTGTAGTACCAATTTCACTTCCTGAGCATGAACACATTATGTTTGGAAATTATCTCATGAATATAAATCCACTTTTTGTAGCCACATTTGACTAATTTGCAAGCAAATACAATCTCAATATATTAATACTCGGTCTTCTTCCCGACCATATGAACCTTCAACGATTCATCCTTAGGTTTGGTCCACCTAACTATGATGATGGAATTAGGCTTAGAACTTTGAGCAAGAACGTCTCCAAACTTCTTTCCGTTAATTCGATAATGCAACTCGGAAACTCGTTTTTGCTTGGAAATGATGTTGTTGAAGCGTTGAAAATTTGCACGTTGAACATTAAGACTTCCATCAGGTGAGGCATACATCTGAGCAAGTTTGGTGTAGCAATATTCCTCTCTTTCTTCTTGTACTAAAGTATTGTATTCCAGTATCATTTCCCTGACTTCCTCTATTGGTAGTCTCCATTCCTTTGCTAGTTCTTCCAGATTAGCTGTCAACTTGCTTTTCTTTTTAGGAAGAGGAGGAGCTAAGGAACTACTATCTTCATCATCATCAATCCCCCTAAGGAAGAAGCTTTTCTTTTTCTTGTGTTGAACTGATCATAATTAGACTCAACATCATTGTGTATACCCTGGGGAATCTTCACTTCATAAAGTGCATCAGGATAGATGACATTCAGAGGAAAGGTAACCTGTGCCATGAATTCCATTTCGAGGAAGCCTTCTTTATTATCTTCAATCTCAGACTGATCATCAGAATTTTCAAGCTTGGGCTGACTAACACAAGTAAGAATCAATTCTTGATTCTCCCCCTTTTTGGCATCATTAGCTAGAGGAAAGCACCCAGGTGAAGAACTTAGAGGTGTAACGTCCCAAAAATCAAGGTAAAATTTTCATTTTTTCAACCAATCGGAAACCATATGTGTTTACAAAACATAGTTTCCAAAAGTCATAAACATAAATCAGAGTATCTTAAAATCATGGTCTCTAAAAATACAGGATGATGTGCACGTTAAAGCCTTCTCCTTGCTCCTGTCTTCTGAAGTACCTAAAACCAAAAATTCAAATTGTAAGCCAAATCTTAATGAGTTCTCCAAAAATAATGTCACACAAAATATAATAGCATACAACCGTGGGTCCATAGTCATCGGACTGGATTACCCTAGAGCCCACAACATGAGTTTAGTTTGCCCACTTGACTCGTAGCTCATGTATGGATTTCTCCTGAGCCCACAACATAAGTTTCACTTGCCTTCCCGACCCACATCTTATGACTAGCTTGCTCCTGGGTCTGTTGGCTTCCGCACATCACAGTAATGCCTCAAACCAATCACATTATGTTGACTTATCTAACAAATAAACAAATAACCAACAAATAGATAATCATGCAGATCTAACAAATCACTACAGCACAACACCATCCTATATAGCAGGATACTTAACCTAGTAGGTTGACATTGGTACCTTCGACCCACAAGTACATTAAGGAAAAACTCACCTCAAAGACAGAAAATAGTTGAACTGATCGTTGCTCCAAATATTGATGCGATTGTTCACCTAAGAATACACAGTGACCAAACCTCAATCTACTGCTCAAATTAAACTATTTTTCTTGAATTCAAACTTGGTCAAAGCCAACGGTCAAAATTCAAAAGTCACTCCAGCTAGTCGCCACATCGTAGCCATCCTTGGTCACGGCGTGGCTGCTAAACGACAAAGCAGACAAATCTCTACCAATCACCACGCTACGGCAACCTAAGGCCACGCTGTAGGGACTAGTAGATAGCTTAACCATTAAGTCATTTTTCCCACAACTTTAAGAGCTCCAATGATCATATCTTCTCCTACTCATGGTCTTGATGGATAATGTTTCCAACTTTATCCAATAAGACTCCTCAATAGGTCAAGATCTGAAACCTAATTCCTTAAGAGTGATTAAAAGCATAAAGACACCCATTAAGAACCAAATCTCTAGAGTTGTACATCCAAAGTTTTCTAGAATAATTCGATACTCCAAGTAAGCTCTAAAAATCATAGCTAATGCCCCTTCCATTTTGGGTCAAAAACATGATGATAAAGGCTTAAACTTGTACATGGAACTAAAAAGTACATAGATCATCAAATCTAGAACATATAACACTAGAATGATCACATGGATCTATAAAGTTGCCAACTTTATGAGATTCAACCTTCCACATTCTCACAAAAAGAAGATTTAGAGACAAAATGACTAGATATAAAAACAAATAACATAAAGGTTGGATCTTAAGGACTTATAATAGTCCAGAAACATGCTCAAGGTTGGTGAGAGATTTTTACAGCTGGAACCAATATCAAAAATGACTTCTTCTTATTCAAAATACCACCAAAACACACAAGAACCCAAAGATTGGCAATGGAGGCTAGGGTTTCTTTTCGGAGGCTGAGGGAGAGTGAAAAAGGGTAAGGGTGGGAAACCTAGCCATCATATTCCTTAAATATGAGCTCAAACCCCATATTAGGGTTTTTCATTAAAACAGCAGCCACGTTGTGGCTAAGGAGAATGAATTTGGATAAGCTTCTCAGGAAGACCTAGTTGATAGGTTATCCTGCCTACCCTAGCCACTACTCAAAATGACCCAGTGAATCGGGGTCCCAACTTTCCCCTCTTCCTAAAGCGTATTACACCCTTCTACGGTGACACATTTAGTAAGACTATATCGCCAACCTGGAATTCCAACTCGGATTGACGTCTTTCAACATAATTCTTCTCTCGACTTTGGGTTGTCTATAAGCTCTGTCTAATTTGTTGGATAAGCTCTATCGTCTGAAGGACTACCTTGATCTTTCCCATGACCATGTGACCGGCATCCCTCCAAAATACTAGTGAATGACACTTCCTACCATAAAGAAACTCAAAAGGCGATGCACCAATACTAGAGTGGTAGTTGTTATTGTAAGAAAACTCATCCAGAGGAAGGTAGGAGTAGCAACTCCCACCAAAATCTATAACACAGGCTCCCAATATATCCTTAAGC